TGCCTTTTCACGGTTTGTGTGCGCCTGCCAGTGATTTTGCCATGTGACTCACTTTTTTGCTAAAAAGAGATAGCTTATCTTTTTGCTTCAACAAAACTTACCAGAAACACATTTTTGCTGGCAGGGCCACGAGAAAGTGCAAAAGGCATTGGAAAAGGCACTGGAAAAGGCGCTGGAAAGGCACTGGAAAGGGACTGGGAACAGACACAGCACATGGCAACAGTAAGAACAGTAGCTGGAACCGCCCGGCATCACTTGAAAACAACACACGCATGTGAGGTCTCCGGTCGCCGTCCACACCCAGTACCGTAGATGGACGAAATATTCAAACCCTTTCAACCACGTGGACCCCTTCTACCCCAAAGCTCAATGTTAGAGGTCTTGCAAGAATGTTTCGGCGAATGGACGAAACAAATCAAACCCTGGAAACACAAATTCAATCAAGTTATGTTCAACATTGACCTTTGGGGGTCAGGGGTTGGCGACAGTTATTGATACATGGGCTTGAATATTTGGTCCATCTACTGTAGTAAGGCACCTGTTACTACTAGCGTGGCACTTGTTTCTAATAGCTTCTTGTTACTACTAGTAAGGCACCTGTTACTACTAGCGTGGCACTTGTTTCTAATAGCTTCTTGTTACTACTAGTAAGGCACCTGTTGCTACTAGCGTGGCACTTGTTCCTACACAAAGAAGGGACAGTGAAATGTCGAAGGGACAGCGCGCAGTGTGGATTGATGATCGCCCGGTGGCTATCTTGACCAAAGGAATTTACCCCGCAGTTCTGCGCGCTGCGTGGGTGGAATTGTTTAGGCTCTTTAGGGTCCCTTTTTTCCAGCAGACCAAGAGGTTGTTCTCCGTCTCCGAAACTCCAAACAATAAAAGCTGACGCTCACAATCCACACTCCAGCATTGAAAAGCTGACCACGTCTCAAGCAATTCTCAGGAAGTCGAAGCCGCCCTACCGCCTGCATTTTGGCCAAATATGGGTGGGCGGTTGGATGCCAGGACAAGAGGACTCGGCAGGTGGCTGAGGCTCTGGCAATCAGCTGGCGGCTGATGGGACGGTTCGACGTTACACATGTGTTTTCTGTTTTTCTACCTTTTCCTCGGAAAGCCATGTGTTGTATTGTTTGGTGTGTCTTTCTGTGGGAGTCAGTTTTCCTGCATGCTTACAAATCGACGACAAAAGGATTCCTGAAGATGTAGGGTTCCCTCGTCAGCTTCAAAGGGTGGGTTTCTGCTAGTCGCCTCACCACATGAGGGGCATGAGGGGTGATCTTTGTCAGCAGACTTCTATGCTGGGAGATTCTTTTCTGGTTCATGAATGTTGTCAGAAGCAAAACGCTAAAGACTATAGAGATCATGAGAAACGAACAGGTGGTTGTACAGGTTGCTGGCCACTTCCACAAGCCACTGGCACCGGCCTCCACAAGCGGTTTAGGCACGTGGTCGTGCTCGTGAGCCTGTATCTGTTGCGAAAGCACCAGGTTTTAGCCGGTTCCTCCGAATCCAGGATCCTCAACAAGGCGGCCTCTGACGAAATCATTTGGCACTGCAAGCACTACACTGGCCGTGGGGTCATGAAGTTCTACCAGTCGGGCGAAGAGACTTGGGCCAGTCAGCCTCGGTCTCCCATGGCACCGCCAGACTGGGCCTTCGGTCAGACCGTTGCAACAGCCCGTCCCACATGGTCTGGATCCTGTGGATTGATGTCCACTTAGAAACCTGCTGAAGCTGTGAATCATGATGGGTGACGGATGGCTAGCACTTTGTGCCAGTCATCATTGCATACCAAACGGTATACCAAACCTGCGCCAGCATCCACCCAGCAAATAGGGTCTTCATCTTGGTGTTTCCGAGCTATACAACTACTAGAGTCACTAGTTGATGGGATATTGCGATTGTCCCACAAGTCCATGAATGACACACATATATATATATATATATATCTTATCATTCTAAATGTCACCTTGGAACCCAGGAGCTGTGCAAAGACATGAACATCTCAGTGAGCACCTTGGAGAAGACCCACCAGGAGCACTTCGAGGCGGCCAAGAAGCAGGAGATTACTGCGGGGGCCAGTCTGTCTAGGAGAGAGAGAGAGAGAGAGGTGTGATGATGAGTGTGTATTAGAATAGTGGATCACTTATAAAGTTACTCTTCAAAAGGCTTACCAATCTCATGAAACAACTACACCCAGGAACTCCACAATCCTTGCGGAATCCTTGCGCAACAGCCGAAGTCATGGGCCACCTGCGCTGTTGAGATCGGACCGTGGGATTGCGTCCATAGTGTGAGAAACACTGAGCCACCATCTGCAGCTGGTCTTCTGCATGAAGTCCTCGCAGGAGAAGGACCCCGAGGGCGGCCCTTACCCAGCCTACCCCTCGGGGAAGACCTGGGATGAGCCCAGTGGCAAGACCGGCGTGGGCAAGAAGTTCTTCCACAACATCCTTGACGGATCCAAGGTGAGGATTTGGTGACGCCTTGTGAAGTCAAAAGGGAGACTTGTGTTTCACCAGTCTCACCAGTGCCTTTTTGCGGGGTCTCCCCTTTTACGGACACAACCATGTGATACCTTGTGAAGATGGACAGATTTGGTCGGAAGACTGGTGAATTGTCAGGTAGTTCTTTCCTGTTTTCATGTGGCAGCGGGCTGGTGGGCTCTTCCTGTGGATGTGGTGTCAAAGGGCCGTGAGATCCAACGACCCCGGTATTTTCATCTATTTTCAACCTTTCGAGCAGGCCCCTGGTAGGAGGGGATGTGTGTGTGTGTGCCCCTTGTAATCACAGGGATCCAGTCGGATTGTGCTTTCTTCTTTTTGTTTTTAAGCAGGGGGTGCAAGCAGCCCATCCAGTCTTGCACCAACGAAGACACTGGATGTGTGCTGGTGAAATCAATCCGGGACGCCGGATTGACGTACCTGCTTGGAGAGAAACCTACTTAATGGACAAGCTGTTCCAATTCTGTGTTTTGCAGTAAGCGCCTAATGCAGCGGTGATGAACTTGGCTTTTCTGCGGACGACGTCATTCTGTCGGTCGATCGTTCGGCGGTTCCTTTTGACTTTATGGCCTCGCTGAACTTGTTAGACCTCCTCTTCCTTTTAGGTTTCCTTACATGTTCCTTAGGAAATGGAACCCTAGGCCGGCGCGTGGCACCGCTTTCAGTTCAGTACACCCTATCCTAAGTGTGTTTGGCTTCGTGCCATCCCGGGATGAGCCCGCAGAGTGCCTCCCGTGGACCCGTCGAACGGGGGTTTGTCGTTATCTCCCCTGCCCGGAGATGTAAGTGTCCGGAGCGGACAGCAGATGGCTTACGCCACAAGAAGTGGGACGTTTGTCTCATTTTTAGAATTCCAAGTTGGCTCATGCCTTTACGTGACCGCAGCGGTCAAAGCAGCCAGCCATTTCGGCAGGGCACAAGGTGACCATAGCGGTCAAAGCAAGTTTAAGGTTCATTGGAACCTGTCCCCACCTCAGGTGCACACACAGCGCTTACACTCAAACGAGGCAGGTCCTAGGTGCTTCTAATGAGGTTTGGTCTCATCGGTTCTCGTCCCCTCCATTTGGTTCCCCTTTCATTCCTTCCCCTTCACACACTTTTGCTCCCTCTTTTCTTTCATGTCCTCCTGTGTTCATGTCTGTTCATCTCATCCTTTTCTTCGTTTACGTGCACATTGGTCCCGGCCTTAGTGTGTACGTGCACTTTTACATACCTTTAAACACAGGTTTCAGGTCGCCCAGGTCTTTACAATGAGGTGGGCTTCATCGGGTGTCCCTGTGCACTTGGTTCCCCTTTCATTTCCACCACACGCACCTTTGTCCCGTCTCAACATGTCTTCATTCTTTTGTCTTGCGCGCGCACACGTGCACATTGGCCCTCACCTTAGCTTTACGCCTCCCCTGGGGGAGGCATGTGTGTGTGCCCCTTGTAATCACAGGGATCCAGTCGGATTGTGCTT